AGGTGGCTCATTTCATGATCAGGATGGCCACTCTGCTGTGGACTAGTGGACTACCAAGGCTGGGAGGTAGAGATTTTTGGTTTTAATATTTTTTAATAATTAGAACACTTTTAAAAGTCAAGTTGGAAATAAGGAATTGTAGGAGGTAAAAGTCACTGTTTATGAATTGTCTCCTTGCGGGGAGTCAATACTGGGCCTTTCAATAGGGAAGTTATCAGCACAGATCAAATGATAACCAGAATATTCACAGAATAACCAGACACTGGCAGTAGACATGCTTGCTAAGTACCCTTGCATATGAAGGAAACATTCTTAGAAGCCTTGGGAAGGTGCAGCAGGTTAGTACCTACACACAGCTGGTAGCAATATGCACTTGGCCAGCGGCTGGGCTGGGCACAAGAGAGCACAACATTTATTTTGGAGACACAGAATCCCTGTTTTTCTGGGAGCACAGACTAATAAGCAAAAGTGGTTTCCATCTTTTTAAAATATGTAAAGTCTAGATTTTATTTTTATTTCATTAATTTTTAGAGACTTTTCTATTTTGGATGCTTGTGAGTGAAATCAGGGACAGTGAGTTTTGGGGACTGTGCTCTTTGCCAGAACAAGTGTGGGCAGTTTGTGCTAGGCTTCCAGGGCTACCCAAGGTTCTCATGAAACTGTCTTCAGAGGACTATGCTGTACAGAGTGCTAGTCTCGGGCCCTGAAGAGCAGTTATCTTCAGGCCTGTGTGGGTGGCTTGATGCTATCTCAGATCACCAGGTCTTCTGCTGAGACACAGTATGTCAGTTGAGTTCTGGCTCAACTCTACAGCACCGATTCCCTGCTGACTGGCACTGTCTCATGCGTAATAGAGAGAACGCTAAACTCTTCTGACCTTCAGAGAACCTACCCACTGATGGAGGAGAAATAAAGAGGTCCATTACTGCTGGCTTTGGGAATGCTGGCAGAATGCTGACTTCCCACGGTCACCTGGAGTAGCATGTCTTTGGAGAGTGACTTTTCCCATGTCTGCCAAGTTTACCTCACACCCAGGGCACAAGGCTCCCAGATGAAGGTTGTAGCCATTGTGACAACACTGGTTCATGGGTCCAAACCCAGCTGTGATTTCAGGGTCCTTGCTCCCTAAATGCCATTCTCAGAGCCTACTCCTTCTGTCTGCATCTATCCCTGAGTGGTCTTTATAAACCATGATTTGTGATTAGCCTAAGCCACCTGGGTCCATGTGGAATTATAGTGTCTGGGTATTGTCATTAGGACGATCAGCAGCCAAGCAGGCCTTTGAAGACAAAAGCATTCATAGTTGACTCACTGGAGGTTCAGGCCAGTTTCTGCAGCCCACTGTTCCTTGGCAGGAAGCTTCCAGCGGTGTGGGAGTGTCCTGGCCAGTCAGCAGATCTGTCACTTCAGCACTTTGAAAGAATTGGAAGCCACAGTGGAAAGTGTAGAGCCTGGAACATTCTGTGGCTCCTCTCCTGCTCTGCACTACTTTTCACTGTCCATGCTTCTTTCCTGAAGTTCCTTTGTCCTTACGGCCATTTGTCCCTCTCTTCCAAGCCTTCCCTGACCCCAGGTGACACTGATTCCCAATGTCTTCCTCTGTTTTCTGTTGCTGTGAGAAATCATGACCCAAAGAGGAAAGGATGTATTTCAACTTTTGGCTGATGCTCCATGTTTGAGGGAACTCTGACAGGGCAAGAACACGAAGCAGAAACTTTGGAGGGTGGCTGCTCACTGGCTTGCTCCCTGGCTCTTGCTACCCTTCCTACATAGCTCAGGCCCATCTGCCTAGGGATGCCAACACCCACAGTGGGCTGGGCCTTCCACCATCACTTACCAATTAAGAAAAGTCCTCATTGTTATGGCCATCGGACAATCTGAATGAGGCAATTTTTTAGTTGAGGTTAGCTCTTACCAAGTGACTCTTGGTTTGTGTCAAGTTGACTGTACAAGCTATGACATGCCTCTGTGTTATCTCAGATGTTGTCAGTTAGTACTTGTAGTTTTTGTTCTGTGAAAATTTTTTGAGGTAGCAGGGATGCTTCAAAAATGGTTGCTTATGCTATGAGAGGCTGTGTTTGTGTGTATGTGTGTGTGTGTGTGTGTGCAGTATGTGTGCCTGAGTGTGTGTATGTGTGTGTATCTGAATGTTTATGTGCAGTGTGTGTGTCTGAGTGTGTTTGTGCAGTGTGTGTTTGTGTGTGTGTGTGTGTGTGTGTGTTGGCTTTTGGAGCTCGGGTTTTGGTCTCTAGTTCAGGATGGCCAGCTGTCTAGTAATACAAACTTATTATGTAGCCAGAGTAACCTTGAACTCATTATCTTTTTGCATCAGCCACAAAATTCTGGGATTACAGGCTGGAGTCATCAGACCCAGTTTAAGGAGTTCCTAATTGAGGAAAAAAGAGAAGGGTCAGACAAAAAAAGAAGAAAAAAAACAAAAACTGGAGCCAACCTTGGAGTTAGGTGCACATGCTTTGGGGGCTTAGCGATTGTATTTGTAGAAAATGCCCTTAGATGGGGAACCCTCAGTTTCACTGTGGTAAATGGTAGTGATAACAACTCCCATGAGGCTCTGGTTCCCACAACCATTTGTTGAGCTACAGAGGCAAAATGACTAACAACAGTCTGGTACTTGGAAAGCATTTGATTAAAGAAAGATGATGGATATATCAGAAACTGCATCTGTTCCTGTTTGGGGGAATGTTTATTTATTGATACAAAAGTTTCTCTGGTTGTTTGACGTGTGTGTGTGTGTGTGTTCATTTTAAGACATCTTGTTGCTATTAGATTGGAAAAGAAGGCTTGTGAGTCATGACCCACTTTACATCTGGAAGAGGGCCGTGGCTGGTTTTGATGGATGCAGAAGCAGTCACTCTGTAGTAAACAAATCAATATTCTCATGACGTAAGCCCGTGCTGTGTGCTGCTCAGAGATGCAATCCATCAGCCTGCTGAGCTTGCTCATAGGGAGCGGTCCCCTAGATGTGACTCAGTGCTTGTCGCTATAAGCAAGCCTTTGCACACACCGTGGTTGTGAGTTTTCCCCAGAGTATAAGTCTCACACCTGGTTTAATTGTTGTGTTTCCCTTTTAGAGAGAATCAGGCTCTGTCATTACATTGGACTCTGGCCAGTATGGTCCGGGTTTTCTGAGTTCAGTTGGTTTAAGACATTTCAGGATCCCCCCCAGAGACCCAATTAGACAGATTTAATTATAGACAGTAAAGCAATGCTCTCGTTGCTAAGGGTTTAAGCTTTTTATGCCTGTGACTGTAAAAGGCATATCACACAGGCGGACAAATGAGACAAGAGCCTCTGCGTCCTTAGTTGCTATAACAAGATTTGTACCAGGGCTTGGGATATTCTTTATTTTATTCTGACTTTAAAAAGCCCAACAAGGCAGGCATTTTGATTTTATCATCTAGAGAATGAGGGGCTAAACACATCAAGGATGTGCCCCCATGGCTATAGTAGAGAGGCCAAGATTAACTGACTCTATTTAACTCTAAAGACTACAGGGGTCACGTTCCCTTTTCATGTTGTCACCATGGACAAGGCATGCTATGTCCATGCCAGCAACACAGAATAGCCCTTTACCAGCAAGCCAAGTGCTACCTCATTGCAGGTCAGCAATGCTGTCTGGGTTGAGGTCAAGTGGCACTGTAATCCTGACAGGACTTGGTGATAGTCCTAGTCCTATCTTTTTCTGGTTACCTGCCCTCTCTTGTCTTGGGTAGGCCTCCCATGGATGACAACGAGTTTGTTTCTGACAATTTCACCATCTTGTACCTCAAACAGAACGCCAAAGCCTCTCTTCTCTACAGAGAGATGTAAATGGGTGATGTTCAGAGCCAGTGTATTATCAGAGAACCCTGGAAGATGCAGAAAGCTGAGGCAGTTGGACAAAGAGCCAATGCTTAGAGCAAGAGTTCTCAAGCCACCCAATGCTGTGACCCTTTAATACAGTTCCTTGTGTTGTAGTGACCCACAGCCATGAAATTATTTTCATTGCTACTTCATATGTGTAAGTTTGCTACTGTTATGAATCGTAATATAAATATAAAATATGCAGGATACCTAATATGCAACCCCCAAAGGGGTCAAGTTGAGAAGCCCTGTCTTAGAGCCTAGGACAATACTTTGTATATGAAGTCAAATCTCTGGAAAGCTGCTTTGAGAATGGTTCTTTAGGGGAATTAGCCTTGGCCCTCCTATCTTCTCCCTTCCTCCCTCCCTCCCTCCCTCCCTCCCTCCCTCCCT